TGCAGTATTTATTCAAACACTATGTATGTTGTTTACATTATGCGACATGGAGAATTGATTGCCTAATTAAAAACAACAACATTAATTACATTGTACACGGAAATGAGGACAAAAGTATAAATAACTTCGCGTTATTTTCTGTAAGATTTATCGATGTCATACCAAGCGGCATAAATGTGGATTTATCTTCAACGATCTCGGAGGCCCTGGATGTGTGGACAGTGAAGAACAAAGAACAAAGAGAAGGAATGAAAGATTTTGCCAAGCTTAAAACAAGTAAACTATCGTGTGGATTCTGTGGAAAAGATCATTACCTAGACTGGTGTCAAGGGTATAAGACAGTTGAAGATAGAAGAGCGAAGCTTGGCAAACGTTGTTGCAGTTGTTTAAAAATCATTTTTCTCGGATTTGCAGATGGAAACAAGAATGCGCTTACTGTTGAAAAATAGGACATCATCGAGCTCTATGTAAAAAAAATTTAAAGTAAAGAAGGAGACCTCGCTAACTGCTGTGAATATAAATGGATTTACTGTATTACAAACTGCAATAGTAACAGTGAAGAACGAAAGGGAGAACAGCAAATCGGTCAAATGCAGATTATTATTACACTCAAGGTCTCAAAGATCATATGTCACTACAAAGATTTCCAAGGAGCTGAACCTACCGGTGTTGGAGAAAAATAAATTGTCTATTTTCGGGTTTGCCAGCCAAAAGCCTCAGGAGTATGATAGTCCTAACGTCAAAATAGAAATAACGACAAGAAAAAATAGAATTATGACACTGTTTGCGAACGAAGTACCTACGATCACAAAGGGAGTAGAAACGCCGGAAGTTAATCTCGAAACAGGAAAAAATATAATAACCTTAGCTGATGATGGATCTCTCGGAGACAGAGTTGATATTTTAATTGGTAACGACTACTATTTCAACTTGGCACAGAAAAAGTACGCTTACAAGATAACCTTTTTTTGATAAATTCTGAATTTGGATGGATAGTCAGCGAAGAGTAAGTATGGAAGAAAATGAGAACACTTTGTCTTTCCTAACTCATTGTCAAAGTCACGACCCAAATTGCGTCTACTTTACAGAACCAGATCTACCTCTCAAAAATATGGACATATCATTCTTATGGGCTCTGGAAAGTATAGGCATCACGGATGATAACCCAAAGGCAACAAGAGAGGGAGAAGCTATTAAGCATCTCAATGAAACTATACAGTATGTAGACGGCAGGTACATGTAAAATGGCCGCCAAACATGCCTACTAATTTCGGCTTAGCGTACGGCAGGTTGAAAGGTCTGCTGTAGTGATCCGATGAAAATTGAATGATAGAATACCGAACCACATTAAAAAAAACAGTTAAATAATGGCATAATAGAAAAGATACACGATGTAAAAGATGTCTACACCCAAACAATACCACCTATTCACTATCTCTCTTACCATATGGTAAAGCAAGAAGGTAAAAGTGGACAGATGGAATATAACCATCGACATCGACGAATATAACGCATCCGGAAAGCTGAAAAACAGTAAGAGTCTGAACAACTGCATGTTGAAAGGCCCATTGATGATTGGACATTTGGTAGCATTACTCATTCAGTTCAGAACAAATAAGGTCGCGATTACAGCCGATGTTGAAAAGGAATTCTCACAAATAGGACTACAAAATAAAGACAGGGATGTAACCTCGTTACATCTTAGGAATGCGTTCGTCTTTTATCCAAATAAATCTCGATTCATTTGGATAAACGACGAACGCATTCCTTTGTCTATGGATAACAGTATCTATATGCGCTTCTGTAGATTAATTACCATTTGTAATTATATCCTGCCCGTTTATATTGACACCCACACTACGGTATCACGTAGCACAGCATGCACCAGAACTGATGTCAAAGATTGTGTACAAATGCTACTTTGATAATTTTGTTAAAGAAGAAAATGTAAAGGAACCTCAGAGTAAGAGAAAGGTCTTGAGTGCGATAGCTTCTATGTACGATCCGCGTGGACTTAGTGCCTCATTAAATCAATCTGCAAAGCTCTTACTGCAACAATTATGGGAGACTAAGATGACATGAGATGCAGTCTTACCCGACTAACTGCAAGGAAAATGGGAAGAAATTATTCATTGCTTAGAAGCCATAAAAGAGATTAAAGTACCTACCACGTTTCATTGGGCTTACTGGAGAAACTGCATATAAGCTACACGTATTTAGCGATCCATCAAAGCAAGCTTACGCTACAGTAATTTACTTGACGGCCGAAAACGCAGACAAAAAGAACGTATCTTTCGTTATGGCAAAATCTAAAGTTGTACCAAAAGAGGAAAAAGATGATTTGCGGATGCCTAAACTTGAGCTACTAGGTTGCTATATAGGTAGCAAGCTAATGAAATATGTAAAGAACCTAATAGACGTCAAACTACAGAAAGAATACTTTTATTTATTAGTGTTTATGTTAGAGTATGTGCTAGGTAAATACATAAAGCGATAAATATTAGTGCGCAGCAGAATTGGAGTAAATGAAATTGATGGTATTTTAAATTGTATTTCATTTGCCGCACATGGTTTACTTTTTCCAATACCCCACCCTTCTCCATGGATGGATGGATGGATGAATTTCTCGTACAAGGCGTCTGAGGAGGTGAATATGAAATACTGACAGCAGTGGTATTTCCCTGTGTTTTTGTGCTGTACTGAACCCGCCAAGCCCTCCTTTTTTAATAGGTTCGTGTTAAGCGGTAGGCAATTGTGTGATAGTGGTAATAACTCTATGCGAGTGTTTGTTTCTTATAATAATTTTCTCAATGCTTTTAATGTAATATAAAATTATTGTAATTTCTGCTTCTATTTTTGTTTAGTTTTCTTATCTTTTGTGCTAAACAAATAAATGTAGTTTCTGTAACCTGAATTGCTAATTTATTTTCTATTCTTTTTTCTCTTGCAACAAATTGTTGTAAGCTAAAAGAATAGAGTTTTAGAATTCAAGTTTGTAAGAGACAGGAAGCCTAAACTAGAATGACCCAGTACCTTGATCTCCTGATCCCTATCTTAATTGTAGAAATTATCAACTCAGGGTGTAGTTAGTTTAAATAACATTGCGTTACCTACAAATAATAATCGATGAATATGTTTTGTAAAAGTTGTATTAGGGAATTACATTTAACGTATATCTGTAGCATTGAATGTAGGAAACCATAGTAAAAACTCGTATAAATGGCACTAGCATCACAAGTATTTTCCTTTTTCGTAAAAGTAGTTTTTAAAGGTATTGTAGTGTGTCGGACGGCATAGTTATAATGTTTATAGTTGGTTATGTTAGTTTTATTGTAAGTTATAATAAATACATCATTGTAACTTTTTCATTGAAAAAAAAACCGACCTCAAAAGTTGGTTTATCGGTTTTTTCCAATTTTCATGGGATCCCCCCATCAGATTCTGACTTCTTAGTAACAATAGGACTGTTACGGACTTCTTTGCACATTTTATACTTTTTTCTGGTTGTCATGGTGGCGATGATTTGTTCGCAAATTTATTTTTATTAGCGGAAAATATTTTTTAACTTGTGATAGCCGAAACGAACCCGGAATGGCATCGTTGGCATCAGGGACCACCTCGAGGGTATATTCTTTCAAACAAAAAAAGAATTTTCATAATCGGCCCACATTCCATGGAGAAATCGGTAAGTGCGTGTACATATTTTTAAAATTTGAGGATTTTTCTCGATTTCCATGGATCCCCTCATCAGATTCTGACTTGCTGACAATGGGATCATCACAAGAGTGCACCCTTTGAAACAAAACAAGAATTCTCAAAAACGGTCTACAATTGACGGAGAAATCTGAAAACATACATACAGCCGAACGCATAACCTCCTCCTTTTTTTTACGTCGGTTAAAAAATACGCAAAATTGAAATTACAGGTAAATAATAAAAACCTGAAAGCGTAATTTTATGAGTCAGGTATGTACAAATTTAGAAGCAAATTAATCATATTTTTTTATATTCTTAAGTCTTTGTTGATTCTTCACTTTTATCACCTGTTTGCCTTCGTTATAGCGCAAGTTTATAGTGGTCGGTGTTGCCAACAGTATTGAAAATTATTTACACTGGCTGATAAACCATCTTTATGTAAGAAATAATAACACAAGCCAAATTGAGACAAATAATCGACATCCAAGTTTGCTGCCCTGTGAAACTCCGTATTTTGTCCAAAAATATAAATTATATTCCCAGTTTTGTATGCACAACGTATACGATTCGATAATGATGACAACAATTAAAAAAAAAGTTACTGAAGCTAAAACAAGACTTGCAGTAAGGGTTTTTTAATTTCTATTCAAGGCAATATTACAGACACTAACTCTAATGCTTTAGCAAGATTTATTAAAAACATTTATTGCCAAATCTAAGTTTTGAAACGAGAGCTCTGCGGGTGGTTTCATTTCTACTATAAATATTTGTAATTTTTATTAGCTCCATGAGAACTTAAAAATAAAGGGGTAATAATTATTATTAATATGAATTTTTATTATTATTTATATATTAGAATTATAATTTTAATAATTTTTCAAAAACTGTATAATAAAAATAGTTAATTTAAGAGGTAAGAAAACTTGGTCCCTATTCGCCTTATAATTTGATAAAAACTGCTAAGTCACTAATGTTGCTGGCTCTATTATCAAAATAATAGGATATTTAACCAACTCAAATGTATTTATAATGAGGCAATTTAACTTACGTGTAGCACGGTAAGGAATAAATGACTTTTGCACACTAAGCATCAGTACGTCAATGAGATTTATTTCATTAGCAAAGATGAAATAACGTTAAACACACATGCAAAAATGACAGTTTACATGTAGAAGCAGAGGTTTCTCATATTCTCAATTTATTAACTTTAATATCAGTTCGAATAGTGATTTAAGTACTTTCATTGGATGTGTTACGTAAAATGGTATATATATTGTCAATTAATCTCATTCTAATGACCACGATACCGATTTACGTGACTAATAAAATGGTGAGTAGGTAGTGTTTGTGTTATTTCAACTGACAATCATTAAAACAACCTGATGGCACCAGGTGAACTCCGCGTTTGTTATCCTAGCGTCACAAAAATCCAGTCCTAAAATTTGTCCAGTTATATAGCCTCACAAGAATTCGCCTTTGTGTCAACGAATGGTTCGATGCAAGTCAATATGGCTGCCGGTTTCTTAGGTTTTAGATACTAATCCGCTGATCAGTTTTCCAATTCATTTCAGAATCAAAAAAAATAATTTATATTAACGTAGTGTTGTTACCTGTAATATGAAGATATGTAGCTAAAAATTACGCCATTAGTACGTAGCTCACAGAGTTGGTGCACTTAATATTGGTATACCCTTCTTGTTACACCCTGTGTAGCACTATACTTACAACACTGTTTTGGTTTGATTAAATCAAAATTTGGGTATTGTTTGGATTATCGCGAAAATAACGTTGCAGGCCCTTTAAAGTTTCCATAAATGACTATAAAGAGACCGGAACCCTGGTGCGTTAAAAACAAATATACGCCATTAATTCTAAAAAATAGTTCGATTTCCAATATTGAAAGTATTTACCAAGTTTCAAATGAAATAGGACGCTATCTATAAAAAGTGACAAGCCATCACAATCATAAATTTAAGTTAGTAAATAAACTGCAGTTTTGCTGGAAAGGACATGTATGTATCAAAAATAATATTTATTTTATTAGATTACACCATTGAGCAATGATCTTGTCATGCAAATATTTCTTAATAGTTTTGGAATAAAGATATATACCATAAGTCGACTAGTTTACGTTGATGATTTTAAGATATTTTCAGTATCCCGAAACTGCCAAAGAGAATTCTTTTCAGTCTCATTCTGATGACTTAGACGACAATTCTAATGGTGAAGAATGTGACGCTGATAATATAAAAATAATTGAAACAGTAGTAGATGACGAATCTGAAATTGATTTTGACAATATTCCGAAACACTTTGCACCACCTAAAGATATCATTATAAATAACTCAATAGCTGATTTTGATGAACAAAAGTATAATTCTGAAAAATTGGGAAAAAATGAAGACAATAAGTTCTTTGATATTCATAACAGTGAGTTAGATGGATATCGTGAAGTCGACGATTATGGCTATGATCAAGATAAATATTTAAGAGGATGTAAAGAGATCAAACGCTGTAGAAGAGCTTGTAATAAAGTCCATAAAACGTTGTGTGAAGAGTTCAATTGTGATAAATTAAAAATACTTTTCAAACGAATGTGCAAAGAAAAATGTGAAGAAACGTTTGCTGATGGCAGTGAAGAGTCCGATAATTATGATGATGGTTATTATTATTAAAGATGTTGCACAATTCTATATTTTTCTACACATTTCTGATTCGCATTCAAAGTGAAACTTCGAGTATAGACCTCTTCATTGCCCTTAGAGTGACATTGAGTGACATTGGACCTTGTTTTTAGCAACCACGTGTCAGTATGTCATCCACCGTTAAGTGTAGTTTCCTGTTTTCTCGGGAGTTAGTAGTACAAGTTCTTGTACAAGTTTAGATCTTATATGAATCGAGACTGCGAATGACTCACTCATCTTGCTAAAATATGGCGTCAAAGTTTTTTATTATTTATATTATCATATGTGCGCCTGATGGTAAGCCACGGCTGTCCATAACAGTTGTAATGCCACTCAGAGCTTTAAATCTCAAAGATCTGAGTGGCCCGGCCTGAGACATAAGTTGACAAGTCCCATGTGCCCGTAATTTCACCAAAGTCAGGGTGACGAGCGCAGTGGGAGTGCTTCTCAGATCTTTGCGATTTAAAGCTCTGACTGGCACGACAACTGGTATAGACAGGCATATAGCCAGATAATAAAAAAGTAACGAGAAAGGTCACTGTCCGTCCCTCCCTTGCTTTAGATACCACACCGCGCTCCTCATATTGACGGTCACATTACGGAACGATAACAAGGCTGTCAGCGAGCCGTTGGCTAAGGACAATCCTCATGTTTAAATCTCGAATTTTCATTCAAATGCGATTTCATACCATATTATTTATTTATTTATTCACTTATTATGTTAAGTCTTTTGTTTAAACTACTTATTTGACTTCATTTAACTTAACTGGTGTAATTTACTGTTATTTTAGTATTTAATAAACAAAATCAAATCTTATTATTTGTATAAACAATACATTCAGTTGCTCTAACAAAGACAGTAGTCTTAGAGTGAATAACTCGTATGTGATTTCTATGTACGAACGTTAAAAGTGCATGCTCCATCATCGACCGCATCGTCATTTCCATCAGATGTATTTGACCTCCAGGTGAAATGCGCACTTATTATTTCATGTTTTTTATAAAAAAGAATGAAGAGAAAATGTGGTGTAAAATGTAGTAAACACATTTTTTTTCTACTCCTGGGGCCTACCACAACCTCTTAAAACTATATTACTTTAACATTACATTGACTTTTCGTACCATGACGCGCTTAAAGTAAGCTTAATGTAATGTTAAAGCTATGATGTTTTATTGGCAGCTTTGTCACTTTCATTCACTCAGTTCGTACTATGACGTGACTTTAACATTAAAGTTATATTGTTCATAAGTCAAATTTAGCAATCTTAAAATAGTTACTCAGACGCAGTGGAAACAATATTATTTTCGAATTTATTGTTTAAATTTTTATTTGTAATGATTAAAAGTTAAGTTGAACTTATTTATTTACATAAATCTCATAAATATTCTGTCTATTTTTTATTTTATAGTGCATAGGAAATAATTTCTCGTTAAATAATAATTTCGTAAAATTATGACAGCTACATCTATATGCTCCTTTGCGACACTAACAGTAGACACTAGACTATAATTTCGAATTCACAACGTGACTATCAAGACTCTTCTTATTTTATTTATTTTTCTTCATGAAAATGCGGAAAAATAATTTCTTTAAAAAACATTCTTTAAGCTTACATTCAAATAAGATTGTTTTTGGAAAGGTTATGGTAGACCCCCTGTATTTCAATCTTTCAATTATAATTTCATAAACCATATTACATAGGCGCTCTTTTCAGTCGTGAACCAAAATTCTATTGTAATGAAGCTTTTATCAGGATTTTTCACCACCACGATATTCAATTATTTTTTGTGAAATTACTCCACTAGTTTGTTATCATTATTAATACAAAGATCGAACGCTTAGAAAACTTCCCTCGATACGGCGGGATCGAACCAACGTCTTCTAGCAAACCGTGCCAGACGTTATGCTAACTAAGCCACGGCTCGAACCTGCGGACCAAACGAATTCTGTGAGAAATCTGTTTCTTCACTCAGTCATGTACCTTCACTACTACCAGCAGCTGACTAGAGATGTCACTTTAATAATTTGTAATGAATGAGTTCTGTACACTGAACTATTAGGGCGCGTGTACACGTTAAGAAAAGTCGCCGGGTCTGTGCAAGAATTCGTGTCGTTTCTACACACGAACTGTGTACACAGCCTCGGCGCCGGACAAGAAAAAAAATCTTGTCTACCCCCGGCTCGACGCACACTGCCGTTATTGTATGGTGCGCATTGTCAGTAAACGAACGTTTATGCGCGTAGACTGGTGTTGCAAAGTACCACTGTTGCACCACTAATTTCATTGCGACTAATAAAATGCATGATTTACTTATAAGTTTAGTAGAGAAACGATCCGTGTTGTGGGACAAAACCTTAGAGATTTATAAAGATAAATGACGTACTTTTGAGGCATGGAGATAAATATTTATTATTATATACATACTTAGAATAATAACGCATAGAAACCTAGCCCGCACACGCTAAGTGAGGCAAATTGTAGGACGCTTTTGGGCTTACACGAGCGAGCGGGCTGTCAGTGCTCAAGGTCAAGTTGCACCGCGAGCAGCTCAAAAATTTTTGCTAAAAATGACGAAATGTGCGGTAATTGGGTTTAAAAATAGATCAGACAAATATAAAATAGACACTAACATCACATTCCACAAGGAAGTAACGCGTTTCAACTTGTATTTTTATGTAAATATTCACTAAAACAGAAAATTAATTTCGTTGCAACAAGATACGAAAATGTTGCAAAGTAACGGGTTTTTTCTCCCCATTTTGCTATTCTGTTTCAAAATAATTATATTACGTAATTTTTTGAGAATAGGCAATATCGCGACGGTTGCAAAATTTCTACATATGTACACCGCCGCAATAACATTGTAGGAATTTACGTTAGCTATTTTTACGAAATATATTTAGTATTTGCCTTCATTAGTTTCTTGTGAAAAATCATTATTCTTGTTCATCATACACTCATTTAAAAAATTATCTTGCCCAGACTCGAAAGTTCTTAACTAAAATTATTTCCGGAAACTAACGCTGACTAAAAAGTCATCGTCAGTTCTCCAAGATCGTGTATAAATAACTTTCAGGTTCAGGTTCTTAATTGTTATCGTGTACTTTTCATGTAAACATACCCACAGATAATATCAGGCTATTTATATATTCAAATTCGATAGTCGCACTTAAACTCGCTTGTAGGTTTTTGTTCATATATGAGTTAAATAAGAATTGGGTAGTATTTAATAAGGTGCCTACAGATTTGCTCGACATTGTCGATGGACAGTAACGATTGAGAATTATGGACGTTTTCGAGGAGTTTTAGAGTGCTTATTACGAATGTAGCAATTTCTAAATCCAAGATGGTTGACAACAATTTTCAAAAATGTATTTTTGGTAAACCATAAGGAAATGGTATGTATATCTGAATACAAGATGGGGGACAAGAATTCTAATTCTTCTTCTTCTAATTCTTTGTCATCTTGGATTTAGAAATATGTGCTATATTCGGAATGAGCAGCCCCTAATACCTTGAAAATGACACCCAACTTGCCATTATTCGAAAAATCGTGCCCGCCATCTTGGATTTAGAAATTAGTGCCATGTTCTTAATGAGCACCCCCAAATACCTCGAAAACGACACCCAACTTGCTATTATTTGAAAAGTCATGTCCGCCATCTTGGATTTAGAAATAAGTGCTATATTCGTAATGAGCACCCCCAAATACCTCAAAAATGATACCCATATTGCATTTATTTCAAAAGTCATGTCCGCCATCTTGGATTTAGAAATAAATGCCATATTCGTGATGAGCACCTCGAATACCTCGAAAACGATTCCTATATTGCATTTATTCGAAAAGTCGTGTCCGCCATCTTGGATTTAGAAATGAGAAAAGTCGTGTCCGGCTTCGTGTGTTCAGATATAAATGCCATTTCCATAAGGATTACCAAAAATACATTTTTGAAAATTCCTGTCACTTGACGTTGTCGATCAACAGTAACGATCGACAAAATCGAGCATATCTGTAGGCACCTGATCGACAGTAACGATCGACAAAATCAAGCAAATCTGTAGGCACCTCTAACTTAACGATGAGTGAAGCAAGATACAATTTCCCCACTTTTGAGGGAAATGTTCCATTCCATGGCATCATTATTTGTATATTTGTGTGCGTGCCGACGAGCGTAAATACAAGTTGCTTACGCCTACGTGAATTTTATTTTTGCCTCACTTGTGACAGTTCGTTTTTTATGAAACTATCATTCTATGCGTTATTATTCTAAGTTTACATATAATTTGCAATAACTAGTTTTTTTATTAATAGTCAACATATTTCTTAACACAGTCGGTAGTAAAACGACAGCTACCTGAAAGTGCACTGACACGTTTACCCTACACACGTCTGCCCGAAAGCATTCGTATCGTGGACATACTCAACATTTCCTTGTCTGCAACAGACACGACATATTATCGTGGCTAGATCCGACAAAAATCTTGTCGTGCACAAACCATTCTCGTCATTTCTGATGCAGACACGACAAATTTCTTAGCGTTAACGGCCTCTAGATTGCATAAATTTAATCCCATATTAGAAGTTAAAATTAGGACAGAAGTGCAAGCAAAATGGCTCTCTAAAGGAATTAAAAAATGTAGTCAACGCAAGAGATCTTTACTATGGAGATATAGATTGACAAAAACTTGCTCTGACAAACAAATATTTAAATTGTACTCTAAAATGTACAATCATATAAGTAAGCTGACACAAAAATTACAAAACAATAATAATTATATATATAAATCTACAAATAAATTAAAAGCGACATGGGACATTATTAATAATATTAAGCAGAGAATTCCAAAAGCAACACTAAATAAAATCATTCTAGGCAAAAAATGCCTCACAGATCCAAAAGTTATCGCACAAACATTTAACGACCATTTCATTGATCAGGCAAATGTATACTTACTGAAAAAACGATTAAAAGTACATACACCTACAATTCACCCAAATCTTTTTTCATGAAACCTACGGACCATTTTGAAATAAGTAAAACCATTAGAAATCTGAAGAATACTGGCAGTACAGGTAAAGATGAAACATCCTACATCATAGCTGAGTTCTGTCCATCATACCAGGATGGACGGAACTCAGCCGGTTTTGTCATTGTACATGGATCTAATCAAAGCATTCGATTACGTGAACCATAATACACTTATAAACAAATTAGAGGTATACGGTATAAGATGCAATACACTGGAATTATTAAAATCATACTTAAGCAATAGAGTGCAATCAACACGCATTAGTAAAGTGTGTCCAGTGACTAAAATTGAGAAAAAGTATGAATAAAAAACGAAGATAGTAAATCAGGAAGTGCCTCAAGGTAACGTGCTGGGACCGCTGCTGTTCTTAATTGACATAAATAACATTTCAGAATCAATTAATGACTCTATTACTATTACTACTATTCGTGCCTAAGGAAGACCCTGGGGTGGCATAAGTAGTTAGGGCTTTGACATTTAGGACATTTTTGAAGTGTTTATACAAAATGCACATCGATTATTCCGAGTTCAAAATAGGACACCCAAAATGCGACTGCTAAAGTTTCGCGAAGATTTTATTACTCATTTTTTGGGACTGAATAATTCTGTCGATATTTGATTGCCCCAGTACCGTCTGGATTTTCTAACGCACCGTGTACACAGCCATCAGGAACTGGAGAACATTTTGCTGCCCTCACCTTCTCCATTGCTACCCGAAATTTCACGTCTTCCCCATCGATCGTAAGCAGCTTGTGCTAGACTTATGGAACCCATTCCCTTGACTACTCGTGTCCCACTAGAAAATTTCCTTTATTTAGAAAAAATACCACCTACGGCTAAAAAGGCAAGTCCAGCTAAACCTTGCCGTGTTTGCACCAAAAATAAGACGCGGAAGGAGTCGACTTTTGTGTGTGTTGCTTTTATTGATCATATTACAATAAAAAATATTCCAATCACTTTTTCAATTAAAAAGTTGAAACATGTAACTGATATCACGTATTTACGCAACTTTTGTTTGTAGTATAAAATTATGTAC